TGGATTTCTGAGCAACTTTCCTGGGCACTCCAAGGGCTTGGGCCAAAAAATATTTGAAGCTGTGAGTGCACTGGGTCCTTCAGAACAGACTGACACAACGACAGCCTCCTCCATGATGTGCACCAAGAGAAATTGTGGCCTGGGCCCCTGTTTAAGCAGTTTCTATCTTTGCAGCCCCACATGCCAACCTGGCAGTGCTGGAGCTGCCTGCCCCTGTGACCATGATCACTGTGCTGTGAAAATGACCTGGAACAGACTCATGGACATGGCTGCTCATTTATAATATAGCAGAAAAAGTTATTATCACTGCCAAGAAAAGACAAAAGGCCACCAAACAATAACCCAGCTGTAAATGAAGGCTATAAATATGGAGATGGGTGGGAGGTAACTGCAGGCTTCCTCTCATACCAGCCTGGAAAGTGTCCTTCAGGTCAAGATGCTGTGGGTGCCATAGGCAGCTTTTTCTGATCAGAAATTTTTCAGTGGGGGGTAAAAAAAATCTGCTTTTCTTACTTTCCATAGGTCAACATTAGGATGCAAGGTCAGAGCTCAACTTTGAGTGGAAAACAGGGATAAGTGATGCCTGTGGCCCCTGGACACCCTGTGTCCCACACAGAGAGAGCTCCTGCAAGGATTTGAAAGTAAGTTTGAAAAATCAATTCAAAAATATGATCTATTGCACGGAATGAAGCTGTGGAGACAAGTGAGAGCAAAAGGATGCACAAAGGTCATGGTGCATTAAAAAACTGCACTAATTGCAGCTGCCTTCATGCTGTGACTGCCACCCTGAAACAGCTCTCTGCAAGTTTTATTGGGCAAAGGCTGAAATGTTATTTAGTTGTACAATAATGCCATAACTGTGCCACAGCCATAATTGTTGCCAGGTGGGTAAGAACAATTATTTGCATTAAATCCTGAGGACATACTTTAGGCAGCAGCTGCTCCTGCCATTGCTGGGTTTCAGCCCAATTCCTGATCCCAGATGCAGCTCTGGCAGAGGATGCACACACACATTTAGGGCTGGACTCTGTTCTGCTGTGGATGGACTGTGTGCTGGCCACATCACAGGATGTCCTACGAGTCAGATGGACTCAGAGGCAGCAAGCGAAACCAGAAAATCTTCCGGAGAGGAGGGGACGAGTGAAACGGGGTGCAACAACAGCAGGTGAGAAAGGGACAAGGTACAACTGAATCTGTGTCCTTCGTGCACACCTCGAGCCCCCGGCAAGCTGCTGATGCTCGGTAGGGCAGGCTCCCGGCGATCACCCAGTGCCCTCTGCTGACGCCAGACCGGAGCAGCCTCTTGATACCGAGAGGTATCAACCGAGTCGTTCAACAGAGATCCCGAGCTCTTAATTCTTCTGGCAGCACAAAACCACAACAATTCCCCTCTGGGAAAATGCTGGAAGCTCTCTGGCCTGTCCCTTCCCGCAGCTCCTGCGGGGATGCCCCGTGTCCTGCCCGTGCCTGCCCGCCCGAGTGCGCCACGGAAACACCCGTCACTCACCCTTGCGGGATGCTGTGGAAAAACACTCCGGGGAGACGGACTTCTGCACCACATCGTGTGTTAAGGGGTGATCCTCCCGTGCCAGAGGGTATTTCTGCGTCCGTGTGTCCCCGTGTCCCTGTGTCCGTATGTCCGTGTGCGGGGGGTGCTCACAATCTGCTTCGCCTCCCCAGCAGATTCTTGCCTAGTCTCGGTGCCCTCTAGTGTTGTGAACACTCCAAAATGTAAAAAAAAACCTGTAAAACTGATCTCTTCTTCAGAATTCCTGGCTTTGCTAACTCTTAATACACTAATTCTGTTAATTATGCAGCACAGTTACAATTTAATGGAGACAATGTGACCCTGGGAATATCAGATCATCACCACCAGACACCTGAGAACACGGTTCTGTAAGCTGAAGCTAACATCTCTAGGGCCTCAGCCTGCAAACCACACCTAAATCTGCTGGCTGTACAGCCCTCTACCTGCAGCCATCCCTGCATCTGGGATTATCAGCTCTCCCAGATGTTCTCCTGGCTGTCACTGCGAGGTGCTGACTGAGCTGGGAAAAAATCCACCTCAGCAACATCTGGCCCCAACAGACAGGAACTGGGATTAGAGCAGGACTGCCTGGTTTGGTCTCAGACACAGAGCTGGTGGGCTCAGGCTGGTCAGAGCAGGGTGGCTTCACAGGACCTCAGTGAGGACCACCACAAACCAACCACAAATTATCACTAACCAACCACAAACCAGTACAAACTATCACAAACTACCACCAACCACTACAAACTATCACAAACTACCATGAACCACTACAAACTATCACTAACCAACCACTAACCACCCACAAACCACCACTAATCACCCCAAACTAGCACTAACCACCACAAACTATCACAAACTACCACAAACCACTACAAACTATCACTAACCAACTGCTAACTACCCATGAACCACCACTAACCACCACAAACTATCACTAACCACTACAAACTATCACTAACCATCACTAACCACCCACAAACCACCACCAACCACTACAAACTATCACCAGCCACTAACAACTACGAACTATCTCTAACCAACCACGAAACTATCACTAACCGCCACTACTAACCACACACCACCACAAACCACAACTAACCAACCACAAACCACCACTAACCAACCACAAACCACCACAAAACTATCACTAACCACTACTAACCACTACTAACCACAAACCACCACAAACCACAACTAACCAACCACAAACCACCATTAACCAAGCACAAATCACCACAAACTATCACTAACCACCATAAACTATCATTAACCAACCGCTGACTACCCACAAACCACCACTAACCACCACAAACTATCACTAACCACTACAAACTACCACTAACCAACCACTACAAATGATCACTAACTACCACAAACCACCAAACTATCACTAACCTCTACAAACTATCACTAACCACCCACAAACCACCACCAACCACTACCAACTACAGACTATCTCCAACCACAAAACTATCACTAACCACCACTAACCACAAACCACCACAAACTATCACTAACCAACCACAAACCACCATTAACCAAGCACAAATCACCACAAACTACCACTAACCACCACTACTAACCACAAACCAACCACAAACCACCACTAACCAACCACAAACCACCAACCACACCCCGAACCGGCCGCACCGGCTCTGACCGGGGCAGCTGTGCCCGTGCCCACCCCGCAGCGGGGCGCTCTGCGGGCACAGCCCTCGCTGTGCTGCAATGGGCTTGGAGCAGAAATCAGCTCTGCAGGTGCTGCCTGCGGCCGGGACTGTGCTCAGAGAGCCTCTCTGGTGCCAGGTTCCCGCAGGGCAGCCGCTGCTGTGTCTGTCCCACCGCGGGAGCCCCCCCGTCCCGTGGCCGTGGGTGATGCAATGAGGAGATTGCATCAGACTGAGCCCGTGTGAGCGATGGAATCATCCTCACCGCCCAGGACGGCTCTGCCGAGCTCCCCTCGCCTGCGAGGTTACTCTCTGAGCGGCTGAAGCACCGGGCTGAGAAATCCCACCAGCTAGTGGGGGAACAGCGGGAGAGAGCGCAGCTCCCACGGGGAGAGGCTGAGGGAGCTGGAAAGGGGCTCAGCCTGGAGAAAAGGAGGCTCAGGGGGACCTTGCGGCTCTGTACAACTCCCTGGAGGGATCGGGCTCTGCTCCCAGGGAACAGGGTCGGGATGAGAGGAAACGGCCCCAAGTTGCACCACGGGAGGTTCAGGCTGAATATGAGGGAAAACTTCCCTGAAAAGTGGTCAGGCACAGGTTGCCCAAGGCACTGATGGAGTCACCGTCCCTGGAGGTGTCCAAAAGGAGCATGGTGTGGCACCTGGGGCATTGTTTAGTGTGAACACAGCACGTGCTGGCTTAACATTTGGACTTGATGTTCTTAAAGGTCTTTTTGAACCATAATAATTTTGTGAAGTTGACTAGTTAATAGAATTCATTATTTAACTATTTAATTTTTAACTATTTAACAGATTTAATTTCATTAAAGCCTTTCAGTTATTCCAGTTTGACAGTCTGGCTTCTGTTGAAGCTGCTCCACAATGACAGTGGGGAGCTGAGGAGAGATCTCAAAAGCATTAGCTGGAATGAGAGCGCTTGAAGTTTGAAAGGAAAGAGAGAGAAATGGGGTCTATTCCCCAAAATAACAGGTTTAAAACCCAAACACTGTTCAGGTATTCATCCTGGCACAGCAACCAGTATGGCCCAGGGCACAGAAACGCACAGCACTGACTGCCCATGCTGCCCCTCCACGAGCCTGGGAAGGCAGCAGGGTCCTGTCGTGGGCCTGGGTCGGGACTGAGGAGCAGCAGTTTGGGGACATGGCACTGAAGGGGAGCGCTGAGGGCTGTCACGGGGAGAGTTAACTCCGGTTAAGGAGGTTCAGTTCCACACACCAGCTTGGTTCACGCTGCGGTAGAGTCAGACATTGCACGGCAATCTTGGGATACCTCCGGCGAGGCTCCCCAGAACCACCCAGACGGAGGGTGGCTCACGGCTGGCACAGTTAATGCTGAGCCTGGAGAAGCCGTGTGTCCTGGGCCCGGCCATGCCCGGTGTGTGCTGCCCAAACGACACACACACAGCACACGGTGCACACACACAGCACACGGTGCACACACACAGCACACGGTGCACACACACAGCACACGGTGCACACACCCTGTGCGAGGCACAGCCGCCAGTTTTTTCCTTTCTGGTACGTGCTCCCACCCGGCCGGGCCCGGGGCTCCTTCAGCCTCCACCTGAGCTGCCGGGACAGCCTCAGGTCCCGCAAACCCGAGGGCTCTCTAGTGTCACACCCCGGCGGGTGACAGCGAGCTGTCCCGGCCTGCGCTCGGCGCTGAGCTCCGGCCATACCGCCCCCGGGCCCGCCCCGGCTGCGCCGCCGCCAATGGGGGCTGCGGGGCGGGACGCGGGGCACTCCCGCTGCCCGGGCCGGGACGGGCTTCGAGCCGGGACGGGCTTCGGGCCGCTCCGCTCCACGCGGGGCAGCCGAGTCACTGCCGGTGCGGTGCCGGTCCGGGTTCGGGTCCGGGTCTGCGCCGTCTCTGCCGGTCCCGCCGCTCTGCCGGTTCCTCTCCGCGCCGTGCTGCCGGCACCGGGACCCAGGTAAGCCGCGGGGGTCGCGCACCTGGCCCGCCCGCTCTCGGCGGTGCCGGTTCTCCCCGGTGCCGGTGTCACCGCCGGACCGAGGCGGTTGCGGGTCGGGGGCACCGGCGGGCCCTGCGGCGGGTCCCGCTCCCGGCAGCGATACACGTGGGCTGCAGCCGGCTCCGCGATCACCTCCGAACGCCGGCGGTACCGGGCCGGGCGGCACCGGGCCGATGGCTGGGTGGGACGGGAGATGCGGAGACCGGAGCCAGAGTCCCGGCGGGTGCCGGGCGGGCGATGCGGGGCGGCCGCGCCGCGGCGGAGCTCCTGGCCGGGATGTGCCCGGGCATATCCCGGAGCGCCGCCGCCTTCCCCGAGCGGGCGGCGGGGGGCGCCGGCGGGGTCCGGCCGGGCTGCGGGGGCGGTGGGCGAGCCGGGCCGGCGCTCCCGGGGCGCACCCACGGCCGGCACCCGCGGGGGCTCCGCGCACCGCGCTGCCCCCGCACCCGTCCCGCCGCCAGCCTCGCCTCGCCTGCTTTTCCAGAAACGAACAGCTGCCAGATACGGGGGTCGCTAGGTTTAGGTCGCGCATTAGGAATAAGTTCTTCCCCAAAAAAATTATTGCCCCGTCACAGGCAGTGGTGAAGTCACCGACTGGGGGGATTTCATGGACGCGTGGATGTGGCGCCCGGGGACGTGGGTTAGTGGTGGCCTTAGCAGTGCTGGGGGAACAGTTGGACTCCATGGTCTCAGAGCTTTCACGGCTTCGGCGGTTCTCTGATTATTGCAGGAAGATGGTGAAAGTTACTGAGAATTAGATGTGGGGCAAAAAAACAGATGGAAATCCAGAGTTTTATGCAAGTTGATAGGAGCTTTAGGGGTGTTACTTGAGATACCTGTTAAGGCAGAGTGTGGGTTTCCAAAGTGGGCAGCCCTAAGTTGGCAAAAATCACTGGAAAGTGGGTATTTTGCCCTGGGGACTCGTGCTGTGCAGGAGTGAGAGTGTGAGAGAAGCTCGGAGCACTTCCTCTCCCATCCGAGCACACGGTGCTTTCACTTACAGCAAACACAAGCCCCCAGCCACTCCAGATAAAACAATTAGTGGGCAATTGTGTGTGCAGAATCTCCAGTTGGGAAACCTGCTGATTTTTGAGCCACGTGGAAAGCCTCAGATTCCACTTTTTTTCCTCTTTTTTCGCTTGTGTGAGAAGCCCTTTGCCCAGAGGAGTCCCAGTGCTGCAGAGGTTCTCCCAGCATGGTTTGTAGCACAAGGAGATGAGGAGACACGGCCTGGACCAGAGTGAGGGAATGGCTGAGCAGGAGACTGGAACTGACTATGGCCAACCATGAAGCATGCACTCATATTTTCCAGATAGCATTTTTTTCCCCCTGCCTTTCACTTGCAGTTCTTATTTAGGATTTCAGCTCTCTGTTCTTAGGTTCCAATGTATACAAGTGTCTCATCTTGAGGCATAGTGCTGCCTGGCTGTGCCAGTCAGTCCTGCAGCAGAGTAGAAATCTGTAATGTGTGTGCTGGCTCACGTGGTGACAGGGAAGAGCCACTGCTGGGGTGGTGGGTGGTTGTCTGAGCCCCTGAGGGTGGCTCTGGGCACCTCCTGTCCCAGGCAAGCAGAGACCCATGGCTGGAGGGGACAGGGTTTGTGGCTGGGATGGGAAGCAGCCCACCCCATCTCCTCCTGTCCTGCCTGCATCCCTGCCAGCCCCCCCCTGCCCCAGTACCTGCTGGGCAGATGGGGAGAATCAGCAGCCCTGAAGGTTTCACTGACTACTTTCATTTTCTACCTTTTCACTTACTATTTTCCTCACTCTTGTTTTTCTCCCAGAATCCTTTAGCTGCACACAAAAGAAATAGATTGGACTCCAATACTAATTTTTTGAAAGTCTGATTTTGTTTTGAAAATTACACTTTCATAGAGAAAAGACAATGGCTGAGCTGTAGTGTTGTCACAGGGTGGATAAACTGCAGCTCATGCTGTGGCACTGCTGGAACCATTTCATCTCATGCAGTGAAAACTCATTCAGGAGCTCATGGTTTTGGTATCTTAAGGGCTGATACAGTGGGGAACCCATTCTGCTTTCCTGCTCAGGCAGGATGTCTCTTTAAGACAATAAAAGAGTTCTTTAACAAATTAATTATGTTTTTAATTTAGATATCATGTTTCTGGATGGCAGGGAGGTTCTTCTTTCCCTCAGCCTCTAAGTACATTGCTACTGTGTCCCAAGTATACTCATTGTTACTGTGTGTTCTTTATATTCCCTTGTGCCAGAGCTCTGGCAGTCTCAGGGAGACTCCATGTGGGTCCCAAAGAAGTGGGAGTTGTTGGTTTTGGCTTTTCCTTTAGCCTCAGTAAGATCAGTTGGTGATCCAAGGTTGCTGCCATACCAGGGCAGCATCAGGTGGTTTAGGTGTGCCCCCCATGTACAAATCAAGTGTCTTGGGTCTGCTGGTGTTGAAATAAGAAGTACAAAGATCCCCCAACTCTGAATTTCATGCCAGATATTCAACAAAATGTTGAGCAGCAGCAGACCTGCCTGGCACATGGGGTATGGCTGCCTCCTCCATCCTGAGTGATTCCATCATCCTGGCAGACGTCCTTGTGCTTGGAGCAGCTCTGACACAGGATTCCTTTGGCCTGTGTAACTTTCTGTATTTGGCAAACTGCTTTAAACCGGGTTCTTGAGGGGAGGGGGCTTTGAGGGCATTGTCTCAGCTTCAGGCCCTTTGAAAGGCTGGGAAATCCTGTAAATAGATGAGGAAAAGTGGAAAAGTTCTGTTCAGAGGACAGTTTCACCAAAAACCCTGCTGGTCTGGGGTTTTTTTGTTTTATTGAGGTTTTTTTCACCAGTGCCTTTTTCCTTGTATTACAGCACTTTAGAGAGAAAGTAAAAATCAGCCCCTTGCTTTCCATATTCTCCATATCCTGATATCTGGGCTCCTTTCCTGTTGCCTGCAATTCTGTTTCATTCATCTTGTGCTGTTATTTAGGGGCAAAAGCCTGAACCAAACTCCAGACCGGAGCATCAGCAGTGCAGAGGCACCTGCTGCCAGGGGTGAGCAGGGCTGTGGGCCCTGAACTCACCCGGAGGCTGGGCTTAGGCCCCTGGCACGCTGACCTCCCAGAGCAGCTGGGTGACTCCTGCCTGGTGTGCCAGCCCTTCAAAGGACATGTGTGTCACTCATCTGGGACCTGGCTTTCCTCTTTTTATTCTCTCTCCTGCATTCAACCTGTAGCTGAACCCTGACACCAAACCCTGTGTACCTCCTGGGGCGGTGACACTGGGCTCCCTTTTCACCACCTTCTGAGATGGTGACAAATCTTCTATTTAATGGTGTCAGGAACCTTTATGCTAGTTATAAGCTGTGCCCACGCCCCTCCCGAGGTGCTTGCAGGACAGATTTAGTCCCTTCAGCTCCTCCTGTCCCCGTGGATCTGGCTGCTGATCCTTGTATCAGCCCATGTGCTGCGAGCAGGAGCTACGTGAGGGTGACTCATGCGCTGTGCTGGTCTGGGCAGACCTCATCTCCCATGAATCCCGGCCCTCCAGAGCCGGGGGAGCCCAGCCAAGTGTCCGCTTCCAAAAGGCAGCGGCAAGGGAGTGGTGGGATTAGGCAGAGGAGGCAGAAAAAGCCTGCAGAGGAATGCTGCTGTGGGAGGGGAAGGAGCTGTGGCAGGAGGTGCTGGGGGTCCTGTAGATGACCCCCTCTGCTGCAAGAGCCTTGCAGGGGCCAGACATCCGGCCAAGCTTCCCTCCTAGAGAGCAGCTCTGGTTGAAGTGCCAGGTTCTTCAAGGCAGTTCAGGGTGGTGCCTTCCAAAAGCTGTTCACTATTCCTGATGGGTGTTGAGAACTTGCTCCCAAGGCAGCTTGAACAGTTTTTCTCCTGATTTTCTGCACACGGTATTAGGAAAAGCAGAGTGAAGATTGGTCTAGTGAAAGTGGATTTTATTCCATGTCAACATGAGAAGAACCCATCTAGAATCTGCAAAAATAATCAGGCAGCTCCAAAACTCCAAATAAATTGCTCAGTTTTGCAACTTCAGTCTGAACTGCTTGCCCTGATCAAGATGCTGGTCCTGTGCTGCCCTTTGAGCCATCCTTTCTGACAGTGTAGCCCTGTGGCTCCTGGGCTGGTTCTGTTGTTCTGCTGAGCCATTAATGCACCTCAGAAAGGCTCTGGAAGGTGTTTCAGAGGGAGGTGAGAGCTTTTCTGCTGGTCCTCCGAATTTGCTGTGAGCGATGCCATGCAGAGCTGAAACGTGCCTGAGCGACTGCACAGCTCCAGGGTGGAGCAGCAGGGCCACAGGGGTGTGTGTGTGTCCCTTTCTGCTGGGGACACAGCAGGGCCACAGGGGTGTGTGTGTGTCCCTTTCTGCTGGGGACACAGCAGGGCCACAGGGGTGTGTGTGTGTCCCTTTCTGCTGGGGACACAGCAGGTCCACAGGGGTGTGTGTGTGTGTGTCCCTTTCTGCTGGGGGTGCAGGGTGTGTGTGTGGCAGTGTGTCCTGCTCTGCCAGGGACACATCAGCCACCAGCATTTGGTGCTGTCACACCAATGCTGGATCCTGAAGCTGGGGCTTTGCTGAGCCTTTGCTGGGGACAAGCTCTCTACTGATTGTCTCTGGTACCCAGAGCCACGGCTGGGGCTGGCAGAATCCACTGGTGACATGAGCAGTTAGTGGATCAGTACTTCAGTACTGTGACTAAAATTTCATTTGCTGCATTGTGAAGCTGCAAGGTGGCAACAGAATGGGGAAGCTCATCACGAGCCTTGCTGGGAAGCCTGGAATGGATGGAGCCATGTGGAGGGAGCCAGGAATTACCTCCTGCCCAAGTCCCACCCATGGCGCTCAGGAGTGTCGGCTGCTGTCCGGGCCAGGCGGAGATGCCCACCCAGAGATGGGCACACTGATCATCCCAAATGTGTTAGGGCTGGCTTTGATCCCTCTGTCTTCTCTTCCTCTCGTTCCCAAGCTCCCCTCTCCTCTTCAGCACAATGGCCTGCCAAGAGAGCGAGTACCTGGATGACCAGAAGAAATGTGTCCCCTGCAGAAAGTGCATGCCTGGGCAGGAGCTTTCCAAGGTAAATTGACTTCTCTGTAAGGAGCAGAAATCATCATGGGTGGCACAGCTGGGTTAATCCTCTGCCAGCCTCCCTTCAGAAAGATGATCTTAGGTCCCAGCATGTTGGGAAGAGCAGAAACTTGGTAGGATGGGATGGTGGATTGTTTCACTTACCCTGGTAGAAGGGTGAGACAACGGAAGCAGGAGGTGGTGGGGGATTTAAGACAGCACAAGAAGCAACTTGATTTCCTTTTTTTTACTGGTAGAAGTCAAAATTTCCCCTGGTCTGTAGCCCTGAGCAAGGTCACGCTGCCTGGCTGGGCTGTGCATGGGTGGGTGCCAGCAGGACACTGCTGCAGGGGGTCCCTGGCCTCAGGGGTGGGAGGTTTGGAATGGTGGGAGGCAGCAGGGTTCCCCTGGTGGTGCCTCCTGGGGCGTGGTGCTGCTGGAGCTTTCCAAAACCCAAAGCACACCAGTGGGCCCCAGCTGGGCAGCAGACAGGGTCCCCCAGTGTCTCCTGGGGACTGCACTGGTGGCAGCTGCTCTCAGCTGGGTTCTGAAGAACATGAGCTGTGGCCCTGCCACCCTTTGCCCCCAAAGAGGGGACACTGTTTCCCTCAGTTCCTTTTGGAACCCACGGTGACCCCTCACCACAGCCATGCCCCCAACCTCGTGCCTTGCAGGACTGCGGCGACGGCAGCGGCGGGGACGCGCAGTGCGTGGCCTGCCCGCCCAGGAAGTTCAAGGACCGCTGGGGACATCACGGCTGCAAGCCCTGCCTGTCCTGTGCCCTCATCAACCGCCTCCAGAAGTCCAACTGCACAGCCACGGCCGACGCCGTCTGCGGGGAGTGCCTGCCGGGGTGAGCGGGGCACAGCCACCACAGCCACACCTGGGGACAGGCAGCGAGGGGCTGGGCAGAGGGGGCTTCACCTGAGCCCCCCATGGTCCCACGTGGGACCTGAGAGGAGCCTGGTGACCCAGTGATGCCTCTGTGAGGACACTGCTAACAACATGGAAGTCAGACCCATCTGGTGGGTCCCATTGTAGCTTCAGAGAAGGGAACCTGAAGGGTCCCATAAACGAGCTGTGAAAGAGAACTTCCAGACTCTAGGTGTTCTGTGGACACCAGGGTGGCTGAGCCATGGAAGATGGAGGGTTGTAGACCACTATGGTTGGTAGTCCCCAAAGAGGGGGTTTAAGGGGTGACTGAAATGAAGTGTCTGTGTTCAGGCAGCCTGTACCAAACCCAGGTGCTGCAGACACCACTGGCCAGTGGTGGGCCTGGGACAGGAGTGAGTCAGGGCTCCAGTGTATGAGCCTCCTCTCACTCAGAGCTGTAGCTGGGGTGTTCCCAGACCTGTGGGGAGCCATTAATCATTAAAATCCACTTCAGCAGACACAGAGGTGAGAGTGCTGTTAGAAAGATGTCGCTTCTTGACAAATGTCTCGACATGAATGAGTAGGTGCGGTGTGGTTCTAGCCAGTGATGAGAGCCCTGCTGCTCCTGTTTGTTGCCAGCCAGGCAGGAGTGCAGGGTCAGCTGTCCCCCTCTGCTGTGGGGTGGGTGGCACAGCTGGCTGCACAGGCAGGGTGGTGGGAGCTCACTGGGGACCAGGCTGAGCCTGTCTGCTCTGTTGGCAGGTTTTACAGGAAGGCACGGATCAGTGGGCAGCTGGAGTGGGAGTGCATTCCCTGCACCAAGCAGACGCCATCCTCCGAGCCACAGTGTAGGTGCCCCCACGCTGGTGGGCTCGGGGCAGGTGATGTGGGCACAGGGGAGCCTCAGCCCTGCTGGAGGAGGCACAGTCATGGCATGTGACATGGGATGGGCAGGGAAGGGGTGCTCCAAGCCTCAGAGTTTGGCTCCAGCACTGTGTGGATTATGTTTGCAGGTCGGTCTAGAACAAACCTGGTGAAGGTCGCTGTCCCTACTGTACCACCACAGGACACAGCCCTTCTTGCTCTGACCAGCAGTGCCCTGGTCATCATCGTCTTGGTGCTTCTGGCACTTTCCATCATCTACTGCAAGCGATTCTGGAAAAGCCAGTGCCAGAGAGGTGAGTAGGTGCTCTCCTCCTTGCTGTGCCATTCACCTGTGCCCATGGCCCCTTCTTGCTGGGTAGAGCATTGCAGCTTTCACAGCACAGTGACCCAGCTGTTCCTCAGCCCGTACAGAGCAGGCACCTCATCGTGCTTCTCATGCCTGCAGGACCTCTGCTGTGCTTTACCTGCTCAGTGTCACAGAGGAGCCTCCCTCCTTCCTAGGGCCATCAGGTGGAGGAGGCCATTTCACAGTCAGAACTGCCAATCCTCCCTTCTGAGGTGTTTCTGCTTGGGTGCTCTTTGCTGCAGAATGAAGAGGGCTGTAGGTTTGGTGGCCAGGGTTGGGGCAGGATGGCATCCAGCAGCATGCCAGGGAGCTGCTGGGCTTCCAGCTCCTCGCTGGCAGACATACCACAGGGTTGAGGACATGCTAGGGAAGCGAGCCAAACCTCTGCTCAGGCTGTTTCTTCTCTATCCTCCAAGTCTTCCTGAGGACACAGAACTTCTCAGGCCAGCGAGCAACGTTCCCGACTGCAGCCACACCCGGCAGGTTCCTGTGTGAGGAGCAGATGTCTGGACCATGCTGCCTGGGCGTGAAGAATTTGAGCCCTTGCTACAGGCAGGCAGAAGGTACCAGCTCTTGCTGCCTTCCCTGGGGAGGGGAGACTGTTGCTGGGCTCCAGCTCACATGGTCCCAGGATGAGATGCCTTTAGGCAGAAGGATGGAGCTGGATGTTGAGCTTCACTGATCCATGCTGGTTTCTGGTTCCAGGCCCCGTGGAAGCGGTGCAGTTCATTTCGGATGGGGAAGCCGTGGGTCTCCAGCTCCCCTCTCTCCAGCCAGAGATGGACTTGCCACCAGCCACTGCAGTCAGCACTGCCTCCAAGGCCCAGCTGGGCAGGAGCCTCCTGGAAAGCCAGCCCCTCATCCGAACCTCGGGCCACGGTGACTGCCTGGACGGGGTCCTGCCGCCCCCCACCCCCAGGCAGGGCCGGCCAGGCACGGTGGAGGCCCTGGCCCCGCTCTCCTCCTGTGCCTCCGAGATGCAGCACAAGTGGCCACATGCACCCGTGGAGTGCACTGAGCTGGACCTCCAGAAGTTCTCCACCCAGGCGGAGTTTGTGGGCGGTGAGCGGCTGGAGGATGCAGCAAGCCGGGCGATGAAGAGGATTCCAGCAGAGAGCGGTGCTGTGGTGCAGGAGGGGGCTCATCACTTGCCCATGGCCGAAATCCCACCCGGGGAGCAGCCGGTGAGTTCCTCCAGCCTCATCACTCCTCAGAACTGCTGCCAGTTGCCCAAAGCTCAGGCACAGAGGCTGGGCTCAACACAGGGGTAGGAACATGGACTGAGTTACGTTAATATAGGGTGGAAAGGCTGGAGGGCCCATTCCCTGAGCCCCTCTGACAGCCCTGGGAGCAGAGCCAGGCGTTGCTGTTCTCAGTAGACTGCCACCAACCTTGGGGTCTTTGTCTCGCCAGGTGGATGATGCCCAGAGCCTGGTGACTCAGATCAGCAGCACGGCCAAAGGTAAGGGGCCTTCCAGTCTCGCCTCTGTACGCCAAGTACGGGCATATCAGAGGCTTGGAAGGGAGCTCCTCCAGAAACCCACCATGTCCCCACCAGGGACTTACCTGACTTGTGGTCTTTGGTGCTGCTCCACAGGTTATAATTTCTGTGATGCTGCCTGGAGTGGCCTGTGGGCAGGTGGCCCAGCTGGTCACCAGTTACCAGCTTCCCCAGGACTGAGCCAGCTCCATGTTGCTGAGCTCTAAAAGTGATGTTGGAGGAAATACCTACCCTGGAAGGGTGGGCTTTCACCTGCTCATCAGGGGCTGAGGCTGGAGGCTGGCTTTGCCCTTATTCTGTTTGGGTAGGGTGAGTACTAACCCAACTTCGCTGTGTTGCTGCCCCCAGGTCTCCCCATAGCAGAGCTGCCCCATTCCTTGGTGCAGTCGCTTGCCTTCTTGTTGGACCCTTCCTTGAACGGTGTGAAGAACTTCAGCCACGTGGCACTGGAGCTGGGGCTCATGCCCCAGTTGCTGGGACGGATTTCAGGGTTTGAGCAGCTGGTCACACACTTCACCTACGCGGGAGCCTCTGTCACCGTCCCGCTGCTGGCGCAGGCGCTGCAGCGGCTCCAGCGGTTTGACGCCTTGCTCCTGCTCTGCGACCACTTCACACTCAGCCCCACGCCGGACTGCCAGCACTAGAGGACAGGGAGGGACGGAGGAAGCTGCATGCACTCATGTGAGGGAGGATCTGGTGGCCTGCAGTCACATAACCTCCCTGGTGTGCATGGCAGGAGCACACAGAGGTGGTCTTTTCATGGCGGAATGGAAGGACACAACAGGGGCATCTCTGCACAGGGGTTCCAGGAAGCACAGCTGTGCCTTTTCCCTGCTCCTGGGGGAGGGCTTACTCAGGCCCCTCCAGAGGCTGTTTTTCTCTGGCTGTGACACCCTTGCCTGTCAGTCACTATGCTGCCTGTGCTGTGGTGCTCTGGCTCTGCAGCGAGCCCTCTCCTGCCCCACTGTTGCCACAGGGCTCCCTCAGCCATGGGGCTCGGTCTTTGTGGGCAGTGTCCTCCTATGGACCCAGCCATCATCTCCCTTCCATTCCAGCTTTCCCATCCTTCCTCTGGCCCATGCTCTGCTTTCCTGGGTGCCAGTTGCCACTTTCTGTTTACTTTTCAGTTGCTTCTCTCCCTCTGTGTTGCAATTTCCTTGGCAGAAGACCTGGCCATGGCTGATGTGCCAGGCTCCAGCCTTTGTCCCTCTGTGCTACCCTGGCACCTTCCTCTCATGTTCATTTGTGGTGCAGTGTAGCATCCTGGCACAAGTTTCGGACAGGTTCCCAAGATGAGCTGATGTAAATCCTCGTTGGGCTGTGGCTGTTGGCCATGGGCAGGTGCAGGCTCACCCCAGCCTCGTGGCTGTTCCCTGCCCATCACCTCCAAAGCTTCACAAACCGCCTGTGGTGGCACAGGGTGTCAGGGGCAGGGACACTGTGCCGTGGGTGGCAGCTGAGAGCTGAAGCTGTGACCGGTCACAAGCAGCAGTGACGTTCCTGTGCCAGCACAGCAGGAGCTCCTCCAGAAGCTCCTCCTCTTTTAAAATAATATTTTTCTTTTTTTTTTCCTGCCTAAAAATGGCCAGATTTCTCATTCCTGGGAGCTGCTGCTGGGAAGGGGGAGCACCCTTCTGCTTGGTATTTCATCCTGGGGGGATTTGTCATAACTTGCCACAGTCTTGCTGTCACCGCTCACCCTGATTTCGGTGTTGTGCCTGAGCCTGGGGTCTGCAGGCAGCTGGGCTGTTCTCGGTCTGCCCTGGCCACTGGGGCTCTGCTGGTGGCCCTGGACAGGAGCTGCAGGACACGTTCCTGAGCGGGGCACAGCGCTGCGGGGGCGGCCAGGCACGCAGGCGGCGGCTCCTGCCGGGGTCACGGGCAGAGCAGCTGCCGGCGGGGCTGCGGCGGTGGCTCAGAGCCCAGCACCACTGACAGGGCTGAGGCTTCAGTCCCACTACGGGCCATTCACTTAGAAGTTAGACTGCATGATCTTTGTGGTCTCTTCCAGCTCAGGAAGTGAGTGTGGTGTCACCCTAGCTGTCCCGAGACTCCCAGACAGCATCACTGGGGCTCTGCCTCTGTTGCTTTGTTCCTCATTGCCATGGAGTGCCTTCTGCTGTCCTGCCTGTCACCGGGGTCTCAGGCCGGTGGTGTGGTGGTCACCAGCAAGTGGCACTGTTACCCCACTGCCTGCTGCCCCCACCCAGGCCCCTGGGCTGAGCCCACAGAATTCTCCTTTATCTGACCACAGTACCTGAAAGAAGGGGGTGCCCTTCCAGGAAGGCAGACCTCCCCCCCAACCCAGATAATAACAGCTGCTGGCATTTCCTTTCCCTGTTTAAAGATGCTGGGGTTTGAGCACGCCCAGAGTGTGCTCAGATAAGTGAAGTCATGGGCAGTTTGAGCTGGACCTGGCACTCCCCCTCACTGCTTGTTTCTTCCACAGTCAAGGTCATTTTACTGCTCTTTGCTCCCCAAGACCCACAGCATTGAACCTTGTTCCATGTGGGGCCAGGATTAGTCAGACTCTTGCTGCACAATCGCTGTTAGGGAGCAGCCAGGAGTGTTGCTATAGCACACACAGCCTGGGGCCAGGGATTTCCTGTTTGAGGCTTTTCTGTGGCAGGGAGAGTGCTGGGTTTAATCACCTCACAAAATCCAATAAATATTTAATCCCTCTGTGGACATAGTCACTTCCAGTGGGAGGAAAATAACTTCACCCACTCCATCTGACTAAGAGCCTCCCTGCAGCTCAGCTTGCTGGCCCTGGCTTTGAAGCTGGAACTGGGCTGGGTGGGTTGTCCTGTGTGTTCCCGTGTCGCCAGTGCCACCAGCGTGTGGTCACTTGGGACAGCCAGGCAGGATGGCAGAGCCAGCCTGCTCCTGTCACATGGCAGTGTCAGGAGCAAGAGGTGAGCAGGAAGGGCTGTTAAATTAGAGCTGTGGACAGCAGGGACACATCACAGGTGTGTGCTGCAAATCTCTTCACATGCTGGCCAGCTCCATTGGTGTGCCAGGGTGGGACTCTGGGCCAAGCAAACAGAGTGAGGCTTTAGTTCATTTGTTTGGAGATTTTCCTCACTTTTATAAAGAAATCAACCCTTTCTCCTTCATAGCCTTTAAGGTAAACTTATATTTCAATTGTTTGATATCTGAGCAATATTGCAGTCAAAATTTAACCCCTGACTTGAGGGTGCAGCGCTGTGCTGTGTGTGGGTCTGAGCCACGCCATACAGGGTGTGTAGGATGGTGTGTGCCATGCCACAGCTCCTGCCCCTCAGGAGGCTGTGCCACAGGGTGTGCTGCCTCAGCACTGCTTGCCAGGGACTGGTTTTAGGTGTTTGAGCTGTTGTGGTTCCCCCACAGAGCCTGACGTGGGTGCAGGTCGCACTGGTGGCGCTCCAGCAGGGCTGGGCACTGCACAAGAGCATTGCAGGACGTGGCTGTGAGGCTCCCCCAGCTCCCAGCCAAGGGCTGCTCCCCACTCTCACTGTGCTCGTGGCAGGCACCTTCCTTCAGCTGTGGTGACAAAGCCAGCTGTGTTTACAAGGGCCAAAAGTTCAACAGGTAGCCTTTAGCCCACCCTAAGACCCTTTGGCCAGGCTGCCTCCAGCCCAGCCAGAGCCCTCAGGGAACCATGAGAGCCTTGAAAACCGGGATAATGCCATGACTGGGGCATCAGAGCCACGGTGATCCCTGAGCAGGGAACTGCTTCAGTGGGGAACCAATGGACTTGATACTTGACTTTTACTTTTTAATAGTATTTTCAGCATTACACATGAAATGTAAGGGAGGGAAATTCCTGTAGTGCTGGATCTCATGCCACAGCCTCAGGAAGCCATTTGTGCCAAGCTGGCATGGCTCACAGAGAGGTGAAAGAAATCAAATAACTCTGCATCTGTGCAAACTTGAGGTAGGACTGAACAGTGGAAACACTCCAGTGCAATGGGGTTATTTTTTTACAAGTGATTGGTTTCCACACCACTCTTGCCTGGAAGTCTGATTTGCAGAGGAATTTGTATGATAAGTTTAAATCCAGTCCTGTTCTGGGAAGCTCTTAAGCATAGACTTAAAATAGGCACATACTTCACTGTTGTTAAAGTGTTTATTCTGGTAAACAATTGGTGAACATCCCTCGGGTACTGTTCCTGAACAGGGGGCTCATGAGAGCTGTCCCTCCAATGTGCTTTTAACAGAAATGGGCAATACTGAAGAAACCTTGGTGTTACTGATCTAGGCACACTTCTTGGAAGAGTCTGCAAGTTCTGGGGGGAGATCCCATCTCTGTGCTGGATTATTTAATACTTCAGACTCTGGTGCTTTTCAGAAAAAATAATCACTACATTTCTGTAGCCACAGTTTACCCAAGGGAATACATGTTGTTTTTTATGGTAGATGTTATTTTTCTTTAAGGTTACGAATAGGTTATTTATATTTTTGTAAATTCTGTGCTGTTACCATTGGAATTCTTCTGTAGCGTTGTTACTGTTGGGTTTGGGGTGTTGTTTGTGTTCAAATCAAGCAGAAGTTGAAGCTCCTACCCCCTTTTAATGGAAGGGGGTTGGTCCCTCACATTCCTCCAGACCTGGTGCTCTTGAGTGATGTGTGTTTGTAGTTCAATAAACTTTGGAGCCAGACATGGTGACGCTTGCTGAGTTTTGCTTCCTCTCCCCATTGCTGCGGGCCCCCTGCCCACCTGCTGGGCCCTGGCTGGCAGGGCAGGCAGCGCTTCCCAGAGAGATGCTGCAGCAGCCGAGGTCAGCAGCCTCATCCCTGGTGTGGGGACAGGCAGGAGGGGCTGCAGTGGGTGGTGCTGGATGGGGGGGCCATGGTCCTGTCCCCTCAGGGCCCCCCCAGAGCACCTGCCCCCCACCACAGGCATCAGCTTTGGTTTTTACATGGGTTTAACATTCCCCATAGTGGCCAAGTCTCAGGTGTGGTTCACTGCATGGCCTGGGGCCAGGGGGAGGCAGGGACCCCTAAACGATGCCCAAGGAACTCCCATTCCTGAAGCTTCTCTGAGGAACAGTTACTGTTTAAGCTCAGTAATTACAGGGCTCATTAAGCCTATTCATGCCCTTATGCTGGTATGTTTAAAATAATTATTAGCATGAAGGATGTTTTCTATTCTAATTAAAGCTATGATACTTGTCCAAACTCTGGCAGGCTCTAGGAGTGCTTGCAGTGCTGCAGCTCATCCTGCATGTGAGGATGCAGTGCCGTGGCTGCAGGCCTGGCTGCCTCTGTCATTCCACAGGGCAACAGCTATGGACAGCACAGCCAGGGCCCAGAAGAACCACTCTTCCACCACCAAACACAAAGCCATGGCACTGGTGGGAGAACTCAGCATCCACAGCTTCCAAAGAAGCCTTTTCTGTGGAGCATGGTGTCTGGAGCCTGCTGTCACAGATGCTGTACGTGCTGCAGCCCAGGTGTTCTGAGAGTGCCCAATATCCCCACAATCTGCACAGGTTCAGTCTCAGTGTCCCTGCCTGCACCAGCCTGAGGCTGAAGGTGTGGGCAGGGTGCTGTGGCCCTCCCGTGGGTGACCTGAGCCCAAAGCTCTGCCTGTGCCTGTCACCTGGCTGAGGCCACTGCCTCTGCAGGAGGAGAGGGCCAGAAGTGTCCATTGGGAGATCAGCTTCCTTCACGCTTTTGGGGTGGGATTCAACCTATGTCATGCCTTATTTTCGAGTGATTCCTGGCTCTGGGGTTGTAATCATCTGGACTCTGCATTCTCAGGTGGCTGGACACAGTGCAGTAGGCGAAAGGGAGGTGGGTTTGGCCACACCTCGAGTCTGTTCTTCTGAAGAACAGGGCTGCCCCTCCCATGCAGAGCAGATGCTCCCACCCAAGGCAGGAACTCCCAGTGATCAAGAGGTTTACACCCCCTCTGCTCCTCACCTCAGACCACTTGTGCTGTCTGGTCTTGCCTTGTTTTTGGCTGAAGCCCAAGGAGCGATGCTAAATCAATCGTGTTCTCTTCAAAGTGCTTGGGATTCCTGTACTCCAAGCTGGGATAAGAGTCAGCTCCTGTGAAGCAGAGCTGGCAGAGAAACATACGTGCTCCATGTGAGCAGACAAGTGTGTGGCTGAGGACCTTGGTGGTCAGAGCAAGGCTGGAGCCACCTCAGCCACTCTTCCCAGAGAGGCTGGCAGCAGTTCAGGGTGCTGAGGTACCCGCTCCTTCCCTCAGCTGCCTCCAGCAGGAACATCTCCAGCTGGGATGCAGAGCTGTGCGAAGGCACTCACAGCTTGGCAAGCCTCCGGCTGCAGAGGGAATGCCAGGGAATGCTGTTTGGCCCACGAGACACACGCACTGGGCCCTCTCCTGAGCTGTCTTTGGAGCAGGAAGGAAGATGAGTGTCCTGCTGCCCCCAGCAGTCACAGATCACAATCCTGCTGAGACACATGCTCCTGACAGATGGGGTTTTGCTTTAAAGAGCCCAGGTGAAATGTGTGTGGTGTGGATACCTCACCTGCACGCCCTGAAATGGATCTGCAGAGGTGGGGACCTGTCCTTGTGCAGACAGGGACCCCTGAGCTGAGCTTATCTCAGACCTGCTGGGGTGAGATTGCAGTCACATGAGGTCTTTGCATCCTTCTCACAGGAGACCCTGCTCGGAGGGCATGTCCTTCTCCCCATGAGCACTGAGAGGCAAAGGGGAGCTGCTGGAGGTGCTCCCACTAATGAAGTGTTCCAAGTGGGATCCTGCTTGGAACCAGGCTAATTAATGAGCCCTGTGTTAACAAGAACTGCATGGTCTACAGACAGTGGAGTCAGAGGAGCTTTCTAAGACCTCCCTCGTGTACAGGTTCTGGAGGCACAGAGCAAGAGCTTTCACAGTTGCACTTTTTACTAAAACCCTGTGTTTGCTCTGGGTTGAGGTGACCTGGATTAAGAACAGTGTTTTGTTAAAACACTGACTGAAATTCTGTAGTTACAGGGAGGGGGTGGCTGCACTTTTCCGTGCAGGAGAGGGTAAGCACAAAGTCCTCAGGGGAGTCTGATCTGCAGCATTTAGTGAGAAAAGGGTAGGAATGACACCAACAGCTCTGGAATGCCTTGGCAAACAGTTTCCCTGCTTTCACACTTCATTTCCTTGTCTAACCCTAACCAGGAGGCTCACCAGTAAAGAAACCTTAAACACCTGCCCTCCATGTGCCCCTGGCCCCTGCACAGGGGCTGGGAGACAGGCAGATGAATTTCCATTGCTAAAATTGAAGACTGAAATTGGTTAGAGAGACATGAATTTCCTTACAGAAGTTCCTTTCCTTCTCCACTTTCCTTCCCCACAGGTGTTTTTTACTGTTTCTTCTTTACTGTTTCTTCTCTGATTTTCTCATTCTGTATTTCCCCCAGGCTTCCCCTGCCCGCTCGGTTCTTACCTCACTGTGTCTCTGCAGGACATGAGGGCAATCACAAGCAAAGGAAAACACATTTTGCAGCACATTATTGAATTGGATGTGTTTGCCAGGAGGCAGAAATCCATTGTTCTTCTGCCTTGCACACTCACCTTCCCAACCTGTCAGCTCACTCCCAGGGAGTGAAAAAGCAGCTGAAGAGGTTCACAGGGAATGTTTGGGGCACGGAGTTCAAGGCTGCTGGGTGGCCCTGCAGGGAGTGCCACTGTCACCCACAGCCTTGGTGGGCAAAAGAGCCACCAGACTCTGAGAAACTGGGCAGAATGCTTGGGAGAGCATTAATGGGAAAAAACCATCTCACCTAGGACCAAACTGTGAGCAGCATCCACAAAAAACAAAACAAAACAAAAAAAACAACCACCAAACCCACCTCATTCTTTTTATTGGCAGCAGATGTTGATTTTTAAAGGGGAAACAAATCCAGCTCCAATCCCAGAGCTCTGCTGGAGGCAAAGAAACACTGTCTTTGGGGACAACCTGATGCCAATAATTATTATTATCCTTCCAAAATACATTATTATCCCAAATTAAATTCCTATATTCCTGCCCTGAGCCCTGGTGGTAAATGAGGTTTTTGAGCCTGGCCAGCCTGTTTCTCTGTGACAATTAAAGGAAGCTGATAGCCTGGGTACTGGGCTGGTTTGCCTTCTAATGCAGCAGCACAAGGGATGGAATTTTAGCAAAAGAATAAAGTGTTAATAAAACCCATTAAATACCTTTTCACACACCCCCTCATTCTCCTCTGAGCTGGTTTGAAGGAATTACAGGATTACAAATAAATACCCCAATCAAGTGCAGTAATAACAGGGCCAAGGTTCATAATTTCTCACCTCCCACAGCTAATGTGAACACGCTGGAGCAAGGAGCACCCAATGCCCCAGGTCTGTGCCCTGGCCACCTCCAAAGTCAGACAAGCCAGACGTGACCCCAGGCTGGGGCTCCCATCCTGCCCAGCCCAAGGATATCTCCATCGAGAGCAGGTGGGCTGTGAGCTGCTCTGCTCCACACCACGGCCTTACCCTGGTCCTGTCCCCGGGGTCTTCCCAAGGCATCAGCCCCACACCCTCTGCCCTGGGTACCAACAGGGCTGTGCTCCTGCTCTGAGGCACCTGTGCCATGGAAAGGCATTAGAAATGGCAGCTTGGAGTCCAGAGTGTGTGTGTGGACACAAACACATCAATACAGACAGAAAAGGAACGGGGCAAAGGCTCCTGTGCCCACTTTGTATGGGGAGGGGGAGCAGAGAACATGTCAGCAACACTCAACACTGCAGATAGGAAAACTTGTCCTACCTTCCCTCTCAATCCCTCCTTCCTTCAGTGACCAGGAGAAACAAAGGCAAAACAAACAAATTGGCAACTTGGCTTCACAAAGAAGCTGAGAATTAGTCAAGTGGTGGAGATGTTCCCATTTACAGCTGAGATGCCTGAATATTTTGCTAAATATTCATGGTCTTTATTAGCTCTGTTAATCATAACAGTTCTCCTGGAGAATGAACCTCCCTACACCCTGCCCTGCGTGCCATGCAAGACAGCAAAATACTTATATTCTCCTGAATGGAAGGCAAAGTAAGACAAGTTAGTGCAATTCTGTTAAATAGAACTCAGGGTGTGTCAAATCTAATAATGGGGGGAAAATGTATATCCTGCCACAGAAAAATGAACATAAAGAGGAAAGGGACACTGCATTAAAGACTTTATTTGGAGTGTAGCCATTGCCATCTCCATGAGGGAACGGTCAGCATCAGTCACTGTTCGTCAGCACGAGCAACTGGTGCATTTAATTCCAGAGCAGGGTGGGAAATGGAGACAAACAGTTAAATAATTGAACTGTGAAGAGGAGTTCAGGAATGACAATGTACTGTGAAAGAAAAGCTGTAATGGTAAAAACTAAAACTCGATTCCTTTCCACCCTTTAGGAGAGACTTGGTTTATGAACCTGAATGTGAAAGGTGCAAGCAGTGTATCACAGTTCAGAAGCAAATTAAACTCTCCAAAATAGCCCAGAGCCACCCAGCCTACCCTAACTCCCCACTGATGGAACTGTGGTGAATCCATCATGGAAATGATCCAGGCACTCCTTGTATTCTGAATTCTGCCATGTTTGCCATGTATCACCAGTAAAAGGTCAAAATAAGCTGTGAAAAGAGAAGGAAGCTGCAAAAGGTTAAGGCTATTGATTAAT